CATGATCTTTCCTTGTCCGAAAAATAGACTTGGTGTTTTTTCAAAATCTGGTACAACTTCCTTTCGATTGATGCAGTAGGGTCCCGTACGATCTTTGTGTATCGTCCCTTCTGCAGAACCTCTTCGATCTTCTGTTCGTAGAGAACGGTATCCATTACCAAAGTAGCGTTTCCTTCATTTGCAGGTAGGATCTTGATGATGTTGTCTCTACGTAGGCCGTTCAGAGCTCTACGTTCTTCATTGCTGATGTTAGATGTTGGAACTGGTTCTCGATCCAGCTGTTCTCTAATTTTCCATCTGAACTCTTCTGCCTCGGTCTGGTCAACAAGGGAACTGGTGGATTCCACTGCAGTAATTATCTCCAAAGTGGGCACAGATGTTGGCCTAATGGCGAAATTCAGGCCTTTTCTCAACAAGGATTCCTCTATTCCCATGAGCGGGCGGGAACTCATGTTGATGACGTTGGCGGCTTCATAGTTGTCCTGTTTTCGTTCTGTATTTGGGAATTGTATCCTCACTAACTTTCCCCACTTTCTGTTGTTGGTAATCTCCATGTCTTGACGGATCTTCAAGCACATGCTTTCAATCTAGGCAAAGATTGGTCCATGATCATCTTCCGATGTCTCCCTTCTCATCTCTTCAAATCGTTCCGTGGCATCCTGTAACAAAGTTGACCTCTTCCAACGGTGATAATTGATTTGAGACCTTATCAGTGCTCGGCTGGCGCGTTCCAATATGCGTTTAGTTCTCTCTCCTGGGATTGGCGATTTCAGCAGTCATCACCCGAAGACGATTGTAGATACTAACAATCAAAACGTCGTGAACTAACCTGACTTGGAATCTCTACACTTTTTATTTTCATTTTCTTTTTTCATTTCTTTATTTTTATTTATTCAATTGTTCTATTTTTACTTGTATTTTATTTCACTATTATTTCATTTCAGGTTTATTTTGGTTAATATAATTGTTATTTCCAGCTATTCATTTTCAATTATACTTTTTTGGTTGTTTCAGGGATTTTAAATCATAGTAGACAATGGAAGTCCGAACTAATGAAATTCAAACATTGAACACTTGGATGGCAAGAAGATGTATGGACTTCTTGATTCCAAACAGTTGTTGGACTTCAGTAGGGATGAACTACGATGTCTAATAGGCCTTCTTACAGGCCTTGCAGAGACTTGATATTCCAGATCAAAATGTTATAACAGCATCAACTGTATGTCAATAAATAAATCAAGTATTCAGTTTCAACAAGTGCTCCTGACAAAATACCCAACGCACGCCACCTCAGGTGATGAAACGACCCGAAAGATCCAACTGTGGTAAATCATAACGAAATCACAAAATTCGGAAACAAATTATAGGTTGGTAAACCAGGGGATCGTTTTCAATATAAACGAATATTGCATCTTATTGGATAAATGGGTTTTTTCTTACAGCACATATCAAATTAGTATCTAATGGGTCATTGCAGAGATATTATTCCCATAGTGAGGTTGATATTGTGTTTAACGTGAACTTGTAGTTTACGTGTAACTTTCAGAAAACTGGTCTACCGGATTGAAGTCGCCTTCCGAAAAAGGAAAGTGACATTTGTTGATGATTTTGTTGAAGACGGTTCATTGATGTTTGAGTTGAATGATTATGGCGAACGGTGATGTTATCATTCCACAAAAATTGGCCAAGTATTAACTGATCCATGGAAAAAAGTGTATATCATAGAGTTGCTTCAACGAAAAAATCATACTATTCGATGAAAGTATGTTGAAAAAAAAAACAATTTTCCATAGTACGTTCAAATACAGCTCGTTTCACGAAATATGTAGTCGACAAGCTTCTGCTTCCTTATCATTGCTTACTCAATCTTAATTAACTCATTTTGACTCAAATGAAGGGTTTCGTTGCACATAGAAACAAGACGTTTGTTATGAAACATGTCAAAACAACATTTGAAGAATCCTTGAGAATTGTGATTCCGAAAATCAAGACTAAGACTTGATTGAAGGCTTCTTATCTTTTTTTCGAGCACCTGTAGGTACTTATTTGGGTACTTGAAGATAAGTAACAAAAATAACTTTAATGTAACAAAAAATCCCCAATTTCTCAGATGAATCTATGATAATAATTTTTCAATTTATAACTCGAAAGGTCGTAAAATATAATTTCCATCAGTCAGATTTTCTATCACAATGTCACTCGAGGAATTATTTTATACCAAGAATGAAATCAATGAAAATTTCATGCATACGAAGGAACGAAAAAGACCATTTGTTTCGACAATGATTCTTAAACTACTTAGTTTACGAGAAAATTCTTGGATACTCTTTTATAGTATATGTTGTGGATAGAGAAGAGAGAAGTTTTGTTTTATTTGTTCTGAAATACCTTGTAGATCTAGATATAGTTTATTTTTATGTTGATAACTACTGTCAGATGAAATGTTATAGAATTGTCAATACACGTTTTCAAAAAAGTCACAAAAGAAAATACCCATTCTTTCTTGAGATCACTCCATAACATTAATTGGCGACCGTGACAGGACTAGGTATGGAATGGGTTCTTTGTGCCATATTTTTTGTATATCAAGCGACCGTTGCTTTTTTCACAATAATACTATTATTTTTCGTTCGTCATTGTTTTGAGCTCATTAAAAAATTTTTTTCAACTTTTCATTTCGATGTTCTTCAGAAGCGGGTTTTCAAGCTTTTTGAAACTAAATTCATTTCATCATATATTTCGATTCGTGAAAACATTCTCAACAACAGAGCTCATATCATATTCCTTCCTAAAGTTGAAAATGAGCGACTTATGACAATATTTTGTTACTAACATCAAAAAAAAATTGCGCTGGGACTTCAACTTGTAAAACCCGTGATCATCATATAGTACCACTCACTTTTGACACCACTTAGCTGTTTGGTATTAATTTTTTCGAAACGATGATTTTCATCTTGATGACATTCCATTAGCCGAATCCATTTTGTGAATCAAAATATGACTGCCATAATGATAACATTGAAGCCATTTCCGTGTTAGGAATCATGCGTTGAAAGGTGAGACCTCGTTAGTCCTTAGCTCGAACAAGTTTATCAACTTTTGAGAGTTGTCGTTCCTATGGGGACGACAGATGATTAACGGAAAAACAGATTTTAAACAGAACAGAACAAACAGATTTTTGTACACAACAGAAAGAAGTGGAGCGTCATATTGATGCCGTTGGAAAAAATGTGTTTGATTTGAGGAAACAGAATTATAATGAGTAATCAAGTTGCCTTGAAACTTTGTTGAAGTACTATTCGTCGAATTTTCTCGAGTATACCATGACAATGTCATAAATTATTGTTACTGTCAACTGTCAACTATGTAATATGTTAGAATTCTACTTGGTTTGCCAGAAAGATAGCGTGACAGCACTCCATTACTACAACAATTCATTCCCGGATCGTGAATTACCTAACCGGCGTTTTTTGCTGTGCTTCTTCATCGATTCAAGAACAATGAAAATATTTTTGAGAAGAGAAGAAATAAAAAACGTTTTGTAATATCCGAATGTACAGAAATTGAAGTGCACGCCTCCTTTCCTCATGAGACTAGTGGAAACACTAGAACCTGGTGACCTTGAGAGACGATTTGGTTTTTGTCTGTGGTTTATGAATGATTGCAGACGAAATCAAAACTTCTATAAGGATATTTTATGGGACGATGAGGCTAATTTTTCAAATTGTGGGATGTATGATAGAAATAGTAGTATAGTAGTAGACACAATCCATTTTGTAGCCCATCTCCACAATTCGCAAAGGCGATTCAGTATTAATGTTTGGTGTGGTTTATTTAGAGGCAGAATTGTTGGTCCATTTTTCTACAATAGTTCTCTGAAAAGTTGTATTGAAACTATAATTAATAGAATTGATGAACAAATTGTGTTGAGAGCAACACGTAGTGTCAAGAGAAGAGCCCAAATATGTGTTCAACAAAAAAATTTTTGTACACATAAGTCGCTTATGAACTTTGTTGCTGACAATGTTATCACGAATCAGAATGCATGATGAAAAATAGGTTGTTCCATTCAAAAAATATTGTTTTTTTTGGTCGAAAAGTCCCTTCTCTTTCTTCTGTTTGATCCGTGACAATTGAGACACTGTGTATAGGTATACCATTTTCATTATCAGATTATATTTTATCATTTTCAAAGACTAAGTATCAATTCGTTTTTAGAAAGTTTTTTTCTTTATAATTTTTTACTTACACCGCATAATCCATTCGGTACCAACTCGAGACTGAAGGACGGTGCCAAATTATTGTAGAGTTTTCGAACTTGCACGTTGAAGAAGTCTTTGACTTCCGGACTGAGAGTATTATAATATACACTAAGTTTCACGTCGGCGATTGCCTGAAAATAATTTGATAAATTAACATTGTTACATTTTATTATGGTGTCAAGCTGCTGGAANTGGATTAGTGTAATTTCAATTGATATTATAGATATCTGGAAAATGTGTGTTTATTATCCTTTTCTTCATTTTCTCAAAACTCAAACTTGGTCCTTAAAACAGCTGCTTCAATTCCTGCAGGAATCATATTGAGTATTTTCTATTCTGGAACTGTTTTTGATCTTATTCAATTGAATAACCATTTCTGTCAATATGATTATCTGTCATTAAGTTGTTGAAATCGAAAATGCGTTTTGATAATATGTCAATTGAGCAACAAAAATAATAATATGATACATTTCGAAGATAGTATTGACTTTAAAAAATTAAACTTACTTGGCATTGGTAAAAGCAAGAGAGAAACAGTATGAAATAACTCAAACTTTTTCCCTTCATTTTCTCAGATTTATCTCAGTTCTATAAGAAATATATCAGTCACTGTATCGACGAACTGATTTCAGAATAGTGCTTCAATGTATCAGACCGAAATCTATTTATACTATAGCAAAATATCGGGGATTATTTTAAAAGATATATCCTAATCACTGATAGGTGCACTACTTGATATGAT